GCAAAATCGCACTTTAGCTTGACGCGCCGTCGAATTCATTTTCGAGTGCACACATTTGTATGCAAAAATGTTGGTTCTGAATTCCAGAGTATAGTGTTATTCAGAAAAGCTTTGTCCACTATCGTTTTGTACATAAAAGAACGCGAAATTTCATCACCGGGAAGAATTAAAGCAAATTCTGTTGTGCGGACATGTTTTTTTCTATGTGCAGAGTTCGCTATTTGGCGCGGGAAATATTTGTGGCAAACATTGCGCAGGAAACTATTTCCCACCATCAAAATTTTCATTTCATTTTTGTGGTGTTTTGTCATAATAATTAAGTTTCAGGAACTTTTTCAAAGTTATTTTAATCACATTTACAATTTAAAGCTTAGGTAAACAGACTAATTACAAAATGGAATTACCTATAGAAATTGACTTTGAGTGGACCAAAATATTTTAACTTTATTATAAACTAGCTGTGCCCGCGACTTCGTACGCGTGGCAATCAAATTGTAATTTTCTCACTTTCCCTGGACTACAACAATCATTTGCTACCAAACAAACCACAATCAGCCAAATCGGTTCAGCCATTCTCGAGTTTTAGTTTTAGCGAGACTTACGAACAGCAATTCATTTATAGATACTTAGATACCATGATAACGTTGCATTTATTTCGCTTTTTGATCTTTAATAGCTATTGTATAACTGCCTAAATTGTAAGACCTAATGTGAATGCTAATGTGGTTATGCAATAAACGATTGAGTATTGAGTATTTAATATTGTAATAACAACAAACCCAATATTTCCTATGAAACAGACTGTTCGTAAATACTGGGCAGGAGACTAATTTTCAATTTGCTATCTCGTTTGCATACAGCGGATCGTGCCGTCCTGCTGAATGCGAGTCACAAAGCAGAAAAGTACAGATCAGTAGGCTCAGTACATAATTATGTAGAGAACGGACTTGAAAATAATATTTTTGACTTACAAATAAAAAAGACGAGTGCTTTGAAAGAATTCTAAGTTAACATAAATGTAGAGTGCGCTTGAATTTAATCCAAAATCAGATCATTTCTCAAATGCTAGAAATGATCTGATTTTGGATTTGCATTACATTCTGAACTTCTCCGTTCGCGTGTTCTAAATAAGATATCCCCTTTTTGTGAATACAGACACCGATCTACTTAATAAGAAGAAGTAAGTCTACTGAATGTTCTTCTCATAGTACTTTAATTGTGGAACAGTCTAGCAATACATTACTTCCCTAATGGACTCCGTTTAAAGTTTGCACTATTTATAGGAAATTATTGTTACAATTTCATTTCTATTTTTGGACTATTCAAACTGTGACCGCTAATCATTCGTTTGATGTAGTCTGTACAATCACACTGCGGTCGTGTGTAATACAAATTAAGAAAGTGATCACCGTTAATCAGTATGGTGAGAAATTATTAATTTAATTTGAAACATAACATTTTTCTCTCATTTGCAATTACTAACTTATTCTCTACCAAAAGCTAAAAAATTGAGAGGAGAAAACGAAAATTCGGAAACTGATGATTAGCCGATGGTAGAAAATCGCACCTCATATTATTTTCCTATGCGATTCTCTTTTTTATACATTTTATAACGGCCATTTCACAGTCACCCTGTATACACGATAATATGTAGAGCTGCTTTTAGTCAAACAAATTCGTATGAATGTTACATTTTGTGCAAATTCACGCTCGAGTGCTTCTTTTAATTTTATCGTGATGCTCAAAACGTGTGCATCAAACATTTCAATGTATGGATCATATTCCATTAAATCTGATAGGATAGGTAGTTTCGTTTATTTGAAAAACCTTTTTTTTTTCAGTAATTAAAGTAATTAATTTGGATTGTCATGGCCCGTGACCTAATTAAGATAGTGAGAAACACGGACAGAAAAGATCAACTACGTAAAAAAAAAGGTTTGTTTATTGATTCCTAAACAATGTGATTATACTTAGGTAGGTACCTACCTTTTTAATGTCTAAAGAATAACGTTTAAACATGTAAAAGGAAACAATTATCTAGAACGCCAGCATAACGTATTAAACGTAAAGCCAAAAACACGAGTTCCCTTTTTAGTAATAAGCTAACCGATATTATGGCTTTAAAAACAGCCCACTGGAGTGAATCTCTGAAAAATGATAATTTTATTGCCACAATTTAAGAGACAGATGGTCGTTCCGAAGGAGATTGGGCAGAAATATTAGCTCGGTAAACGCAGGTTTATATGAACGCCAAATTGAATATTGAGAGTTATAGGTACTAGGATTTTAAGAACACATAAAATAGTATGATTTGGGAATGACGCTATTCTTCTAAAAAGGGATGTTTAATAAAGATTTGATTACTAATTGAAACGACTTTATAATTTCAGAGTTTGGCTTTCTTTATGTTGATTAAAGTTATTCCCAGTTTGGGCGCTCAATTAGAAAAAAGCACTCAGTGTCATTACTATCATTCTGCTTAGCAAATTCTAACCTGACTGGCAGAAATAAAATATTATTTTGTGCTTCTGGCATATTGAGCCATCGAGCCATCTGGGGGCACGGCAGTGCCCCCGCCAAGTCGAGCGCGAAGCAAACACTGCCGTACCATCCTTTACTGGAACCATTTCGCCGCATTTTCAGGCCCCTATTTGAGAACCTCTGAATAAAACCAGAACGCAGAAATTTTCGTCATCTAGTAAGCTATAATCACATACTTAAAATCCAAAATTTCAAGTCTGTAGGTCATTTAGTTACGAAGTTAAGTGAAAGCAAAGTTTCGCATTTACGACACTCACTCACTCACTGATGATCATCAAAATAGAATTAGTACTTCCCATAAACTCAGAGAGCTGAAATTTGGTACAGAGTTAGGGTTTAATGGCCACATAAAGGGAAAACTATAAAAACTAGGAAAATCGAAGATCTGAAATAACACCACATTCATGATCAATACTACTCCGGCACCGTGGTATTCGCCTGTATCGCTCACCGCTAGATGGCGCTAGCACTAGCAAGCGGTGTCCAGATTATTTTCTTTTCTAGAGACCCCCGTTGATTAAGTTAAATGTTGTGTAATTTGCATTTCGTTTATTATATTGTTGTAAAGTTCGCTAAGGTTATGTTATTAAAACAATTCTTATTTTAAATGTCGTTGAGTTTATTTGTATTTAATATCGTAAAAAAATGTCTATAAAACGACGACGTAAAATTATTTTGCCACTTTCTACAAAAAGAAGTGAAATCCCATCAAAAACATTGTGTAAAAAACTAGCCAAGTCTCGATGGAGCTGCTTGTTTATCTCTAAAAAGTAATGAAATCTAGACAAAGTCGTGCCAAGTCTATGGTTCCTTACTGCGATTTCTTTATTATTATAGTTAATGTTGTGTGACTTAGCCGTTGAACAATCTTTATTAAGATAATCATACATAAGTATTATTGAAATACGCAGCTTTATTAAACCTACAATTGACTGGTTATTGTTGAATCAACGTTTTCCAAGTGGAAATTTTCCATCGTCAATGAGTAGCGGTTCTGGCGACAGATTGGTGCAATGGTGTCATGCATGGAGCACCTGGTTTTGTCACCCTTCAACGGCCAACTCACACAACATTAACTATAATAATAAAGAAATCGCAGTAAGGAACCATAGACTTGGCACGACTTTGTCTAGATTTCATTACTTTTTAGAGATAAACAAGCAGCTCCATCGAGACTTGGCTAGTTTTTTACAGAATGTTTNCAATGTTTTTGGTGGGATTTCATTGAGAGCCAGGAAGTCTAACACAGTTTTTTGAAAACAAAAAAGAAATGATTAGGTACATTTCCTCCCAAATAAAGAAATCGGAAGAAATAATCTCAGACGTCGTTGCGACCTTACCTTTAGCCGATTTTTCTGATCCTTTCCTTTTCAAAATATATTTGTTTAGGATTCAGTCGATGTGCTATAAAATAGAGGAGGTATGGTTGAAACGCTATCCCAAACAAACACAAAATTAATTTGACGGAAATGTTACCAAGGATTAATATGACAATTATTTACGGAGAGTTTCTTGCGACTTCTATGAGGTCATAAATTAATAAAAATACTATGGAAATAAAATAAAGAAAAATTCGATTCATCTAAATAAACGTCCACTGCTGCATTCAAAGGCCTCCCCTAAGGATTTCCATAACGACTGATCCTGTGCTGCCCGCCTTCCGTGACATTTACCAGATCGTCGGACCACCTAGTGGTGGGCCTGTCCACACTATGTCTTCAGGCCCGTGGTCACCACTCGAGAACTTTTATGCCCCAGCGGCCATCAGCTCTACGAGCTACAAGTATGAGAAAGGAATACCTACGATAAATGAACAAAGAAAAAGAAAGCGAAACTTTTTACGCAGAAATTACCTACATTAATACTTAATTATATACTCTAGACTTCTTTGATACGTTTTGGGACACCCTATATAAAACGCTCTGGGTAGTGTGTATGTTCCTAAGCCCTCATCAAATATTCACGAACTAACATAAAATACGAGTAATCCATGCCAAAACATAAAAAGAGATGACGATGAGAAAAAGTGGTTGGAGCAAACGTATTCTAGTTATTTTTAGCTTAAATAACTTGTGATATTTTTGGGGTTAGAAGTAATAATATTTGTTTTCAAGATTCAGTAATTTGGGCACGGTATTATTTTTATGAATGGAATTTAATTTAACTACTCACTAAAAATATGTATTATCTCGTGTTAATTGCCTGATGATGTACTTTAGTGTGATATACGGTTACGTACCATCAGACCAAAGTGAAAATAATATCATTTTAATAGTGTTTCGGGTTAACCTGTATACAGGATTTATTAGTAGATAACGGAGCCTGATAAAGATCTTTCAAAATAACGGTTAAAAAGAAAAGAAGTTTTAGATTTTATCATTCTTCGTCAATTTACTAGCAGATGCCCTGTATTTTAGCTTATTTAATAGTTTTGTAACCATATAATTTTCACGGGACAGTTTTCGGAGAACAACGCGACCATCAGCATCCTGAGCCTGGTGCCGATGGCGGAGGACCACGACCGAGTGCTGGCCTGCCGCGCAGAGAACCCCAGCGTTGCTGACTCCATGATCGAGGACCGGTGGCAGCTGAATGTGCACTGTAAGTTTAGGAGATTAAAGTTTATTTTCATTTGGCGGAGGACCACGGCTGTGTCCTGGCGTCACAGTTCAGTCACAGGACATTCACTGCTGAATATAGGACTCGCCCAACGATTTCCATATTGACCAGTTGGTAGCGGCCTGCATTAAAGCGCCTTCCTTTATGAGGTTGTCTCACGCTGTGTTTTCCGGTACGTGGCCTCAAACTTAGTTACTATGAGATTCGATTCAAATATTTTTTCACTACAAACCAAAATCAGCCTGCAGCCAGCAGCATGTTAGTGTTGTTTCAGGTAAAAATAGTTTTTATTAATAAAATTCCGTGTAAAAAAAGTTTCGGGCAATCAGCAAAATTGCGACAGGAGCAGTCGAAATATTTCCAAATATTTGCCAATCTTCAACATTCATGTATTCAGTTTTGCTACACGGCCCGTGTGCATTTGTCGTTGGAAAAATCGACACATTTTCTAGTTGTGGTCGGGGAGAGTGGGTAGCCAAACGGTATGTAAATTCACTATTTGCGAAACAGAGAATTGATTCCGTGATTTCACTGGAGACAGAGTTGGACTGTTCGACACGATCGCCTTGGGTTCAATTTAAGAAAAAGAAACGGTAACACTTTGTTTCCACTATTATTTTATTTAGCTATCGGTCTGGTTTTGTAGAGCTATGTCAAATGATTAGAATTGAAAAAGCTTTTAATGTTTGCATCAAAATAACACGCAAGTCAAAAGATCTTATCCCGTACCTACTGACTTAGGTAAACCTAGTGAATCTTGCAATCAACCCTGGGTCACTGAATAGATAAAGTAGTAACAGAAGTAGAACTCTTCAAGGTCACTTGATAGCTCCTCTGGCCACCTAACAATTATGTGCAAACTTGTTCGCAGCTGCTACGCGTTACAAGTCCTGTAATTACGCTCGTCTAGGGTTGCCATTTTGTGATTCCTAATGTAAGAGAAATTACTGCGGAGACGAGTAGCAACGAACACTAACCTTTATGTGAGTTAATCATCTGTGTCGTCAACGATTTCTCTCGCAATATTACACGAGTGAAGGACTACACAGACCTTCACCCTGCCGAGGTATTGTAGTCAGCCTAGAATTCCTGACTTGATTTATTCCAAAGAGAGCAAACGCCAATGGGTTTGAATGTGATTGTATTTACAGAATAAGTTTTCTTAGACTTCCAAATTAGTTACTCGAGCCGCAAGAAATTCAATCTGCGTAGCAAAATAGTTGAAGGTTGTCGAAGTTTGTGGAATATCAATTGTTGGAGACCTACCGTTTGGCTGGGACTCGCTGAAATCAGCGCGAAATCAACTGTGGGTGGCTGATTGAAAGAATTTGTAGTGATTTTAATTTACATAAATAACACTGGTCAACACATGTTTTTTTTTCCTTATATTTTTTTTCTGTTATTGGGTATTTCTATGGCCCTGATTATGAAAAAAATACTGGGAGATCGTCAACAGCTTTACTTTTTAAAATATAGAGTTTTATTATTTTGACAAAAAAATACGAAAAATTATACATTGTGTTGATAAAATATCTATTGAACACTAGCAAATGATCTTTTATATGATTTTTTTGAATAGACAAGTTTGAGTAGATCTCGTTGCAAACTCCAGCAATGGTCGGCCATTCATATATGATCACCACCGCCCCTGATAACCTTCTTCCATTGTCCAAAAATTCTAATGACATCTTTTATCCTGCTCCTCACTAAACTCTCCCACATTTTCTGGAAATCGATGTTAACCCATTACTTCCCAAGCATCGAAATCTTTGGAATTTTTTGATCAAATCTTGAAACTAAGTTCATAATAGGCCAAGAAAAAATAATAAATACAAAAAAATAAAAAAAATAGTACCTTTAATGCTGAGTCAGCCTGTCCTATAAATATGACAGTGGGGACATGTGATCAGAAATAATAAAAGATAACAATTGTAAGAAAATTAGCAGTATTTGAAAATTTGTCCGTAAACAGCTTTAAACATAAAGTTTTAGGAACTTATTTTGTATGGTAAGGTATAAAACAATCACTGCAGAGTGTTTTTTTCACATTTAGCGCAAAAAGTAAGAGTTTTTTTTACAATCTTCTCCCTGGCAATGCCTCTATTTGTCCCTCTTCGTCATATAGTCGTTAATATTGATCATATTGTCAAACCTCACAGGTTGTAAAAGGCGTTCATATGTACCTGGTGCAGGTTTTCTTACCTTGCCTCCCGATTTTTTTATCCAAAAAAAAACCCTACGCTTGAAATCTTTCTAGATTTCAATGTCTCATCTTTATTTACCTCATTGTAAATAATAAATAATCCATGCATTCACTAGAGACATGTCTAAAACATGAATGACTAAGGCCAACACCATTTTTTGCCTCTGAAGCTGAAGATAATCTATTGATTACAGAATTGGACGAAAGTCAACGATAGAAATATTTGAAGTTTTGTGAACTTTTTGTTCACTAATCCCCATTAACGCCAATTGGAGCTTATAAAACTTATAATCACCTCAAGCCACAGAATGGAAGAAGGCGATGGATAAAGAATACAATTCTTTAATGAAAAATGAAACCTGGAGTTTGACAGACCTTCCACCGGGGAAAAAGGCTCTACCCTACAAGTGGGTATTCAAAACGAAAACCGACCAGAGTGGAAATATCACCAGTTACAAGGCTAGGCTTGTAATAAAAGGCTATGCTCAGAGAAATGGATTAGACTATGAAGAAACATACTCACCAGTTGTCAGGTACACCACTATCCGCTACTTGTTTGCATTGGCAGCTAAATATAATCTGGAAATAGATCAAATGGATGCTGTATCAGCCTTTTTGCAAGGAGAGATAGATAAAACTATCTATATGGAGCAACCAGAACAGTATAAACAGGGATCTCAGGTATGCATTCTACATAAATCGATATATGGGCTAAAACAGGCCAGTAGGCTTTGGAATGTCAAACTTAACAAAGTCCTACATGAGTTGGGAATGCAACAATCGAAAACAGATCCATGTGTTTATTTCAATATAGAACAGAACACATTTATAGCTGTCTGGGTTGATGATCTAATTTTATTTACTGCTCAAGAGTCTACAAAGATGTTATTTAAGGAAAAATTAAAAGAACACTTGGAAATGAAAGATCTAGGCCCAGCTAGCCAGTGCTTGGGCATGCACATCACTAGGTGNACAAAATCAAAATTATACGCACAGATAATGGCAAAGAATATTGTAATCATAATTTTGAGAAGTTTTTGTCTAATCATGGTATTGTTCACCAGACGTCCACTCCCTACACGCCTCAGCACAACGGCCTCGCTGAACGGATGAACCGAACCCTGGTTGAGCGAGCGAGGTGCATGCTATTTTATGCTGGTTTGGAAAAGAGCTTGTGGGCTGAAGCTGTGGCAACTGCAGCATATGTTGTCAACCGGTCACCAACAAAGGCACTAAAAGGTAAAACTCCATTTGAAATTTGGAAAGGACGGAAACCCAACTTGTCACACATGAAGATATTTGGCTCTGTTGCTATGGTCTATGTTCCAAAAGAAAAACGCCAAAAGTGGGACAAGAAATCATCAAGGATGATACTAGTTGGCTATTGTGAAAACTCGAAGGGTTACCGATTGTTTGACCCTGAAACAAAGAAAATAGTAAAAAGTAGAGATGTCACTTTTATAGAAAATGTGAATACACATGCAAATCTCCCTGTTGATTGTGATACAGTGGAAAGTGAGAGCAGCAAAGACAGTTCTGATCCCGAAATACTCACTCCGGAGCCCAATGACTCGGATGTCCATGAAGACTCAAGTGAGTATGAAACTGATGTTGGAGATTCTGATGAAACTTATCATCCACCGTGTTCAGTGAGACGGCAGCAGGATGTTAACAGCAACATCACAGTAAGATCATTGCGGTCTCAGAGGCAAAGGAATGAAGAGAGTGACAAAAATAGTTATTTGTGTTTGTACACTGACTCATCTGATCCACAGACTGTAGAAGAGGCTCTGTCATCACCTCAAGCCACAGAATGGAAGAAGGCGATGGATAAAGAATACAATTCATTAATGAAAAATGAAACCTGGAGTTTGACAGACCTTCCACCGGGGAAAAAGGCTCTACCCTACAAGTGGGTATTCAAAACGAAAACCGACCAGAGTGGAAATATCACTAGTTACAAGGCTAGGCTTGTAATAAAAGGCTATGCTCAGAGAAATGGATTAGACTATGAAGAAACATACTCACCAGTTGTCAGGTACACCACTATCCGCTACTTGTTTGCATTGGCAGCTAAATATAATCTGGAAATAGATCAAATGGATGCTGTATCAGCCTTTTTGCAAGGAGAGATAGATAAAACTATCTATATGGAGCAACCAGAACAGTATAAACAGGGATCTCAGGTATGCATTCTACATAAATCGATATATGGGCTAAAACAGGCCAGTAGGCTTTGGAATGTCAAACTTAACAAAGTCCTACATGAGTTGGGAATGCAACAATCGAAAACAGATCCATGTGTTTATTTCAATATAGAACAGAACACATTTATAGCTGTCTGGGTTGATGATCTAATTTTATTTACTGCTCAAGAGTCTACAAAGATGTTATTTAAGGAAAAATTAAAAGAACACTTGGAAATGAAAGATCTAGGCCCAGCTAGCCAGTGCTTGGGCATGCACATCACTAGGTGTGGAAGTGATGTTGTATTAGATCAGGAGAAATATATTAAAGAAATTTTAGCAAGATTCAGAATGTCGGACTGCAAACCTGTGAAAACACCTATTGAAGTTGGTATGAAATTTAATGAAAATGAAGAACAAGAAGCATTGTTAAACTGTCCATATCAACAAGCTATTGGTTCATTGCTTTATCTGGCTCAGGTTACCCGGCCAGATATATCATTTGCAGTTAACACACTGAGCAGATTCAACAACAATCCCAAGGCTACGCATTGGACTGCAGTGAAGAGAATATTTCGATATCTACAGGGCACCAAAGATTTGAAATTGATTTACACCAAAGATGGTAATGAGAAAATCACAGGATATTGTGATGCAGATTGGGCAGGAGATGTGTGCGACCGAAAATCGTGCACAGGTTACATTTTTATGTTACAGGGTGGCGCCATCTCTTGGCGGTCACATAAACAGCAGACTGTTGCCTTGTCGACAGCCGAGGCCGAGTACATGTCGATGTCCTCCGCGACGCAGGAAGCGTTGTGGCTGCAGCAGCTGCACGGCGAGCTCGGCCAGCCGCCGCACGGCCCGCTCATTATCTTCAGTGACAACCAGAGTGCGATCAAGTTATCTATGAATGACTGTTACTTACCTAGGTCTAAGCATATAGACATTCGTTATCATTTTCTGAAGGATCATGTTAATAATTTAAATGTTAAATTTTGTTATGTTAAAGGTGAAGACATGATTGCTGATAATTTAACTAAGGGTACTACTGCTGATAAGCATTTGTATTGTGTAACTAAAATAGGGTTACGTTCCAGGGGAGGGTGTTAGAATAAATGGAACGCAACCATTTTATATTGTGTATGTTGGCAATACGGAAATCCGTTTAGTTTTTTCATGTTGACACTATTGTTACTGCCATTTTGAACTCTGTGATTTGTGTGCGCTCTAAACCGAATAGAAAGTTATTAATCTCAATATTTCTTTTATTTACCACAAAAGCTACAATTCCTTCATTTGAACACGCGCGGTCGGTAGGACCAACCAGCAAGGTTGGTCACTTGACCACACCAAGATATAAACTAAAAAGTCAGTAATTAGAAAACATTGACCGCCTATGATCTTTATCCAATTCTGAAGTGTTATTTTTTATCCAGACAAAAGAGATCCACCACAACGCGAGTGCAGGCATCATCCTCAGTGACCAAAGCCTGGTGCTTCAAGTTGTGAACAGGTCGGCTGCTGGCGACTACAGCTGCCTCGCTTCCAACAGCGAGGGTAGCGCCACCAGCAACCCCGTGTCTCTTCAGATACGATGTAAGTGCTTTTATATCTCCTCCAGCTGGACAAAAGTTTCTCTGGAAGATTTCAGTCCCGTGCTGTCCGCATCCAGGCGTTTCCTCTCGATTTAGGGTTATATTGAAGGCTGCTGGCGATTACAGCTCTCGAGCCTCTAAAGGGCAGCGCTACCATCAAAAATCCCAGTATGATACGATAGAAGTTCTTTTATACTCACGTGTTTAGGTGGACAATATGCTCGTAGCAGTATCTATTGAGACTTCGGTTAACATTAAGAAGGCCGCGGGCAGATTCCTTCTACTTCAGATAAAAAAGTGTAAAGCAAGGACTGGCTGTTAAGATGGGTGATGGATAGTTACATCTAATCCGATAGACGAATGACCTAAAGGACGTAACGAGGACCTTTAATTGTAACTGTAATGAAAGTACCCGGTACTTTCCATGATGGCTAAGACCCAATCACGTAATATTTGGCAATCATAACTGACGTATTGAAGTATTATGTATTGAGAATAAATTGAATGCCTTTTTGGGACAATCTAATTAGAAAAATTAATTAGTTAACGAAGTTTGTTTTCTTTACCAATTTATCGGTAAGGTTATTATTTTTCATCAAATAAGGTTTATGTATATATTAAGCTCACCAATTTGCCTAGCTTTATCTATGCATTACATCTTATAATTTGATCAGAATCTGATATGATCAACTACATATCTCGAACAATTAGCTTGATTGGTGTATGTACACGTTGTTACGTTATGTCGAACTTCATGGGGCATTGTATGTAATAGGTAGCTGTTAATATGGATACAGGGTGTAAGGGGATATAGATTGTCAGAATCTGACTTTAAACTCAGATAACATTTATAAATTTTATCTTTTTGTCGTCTTAATTGGATTCATCTATTCATTTTTTTCGCTCATACATACAGTATCTACTTAGTTTATGTGTAAAACAAGTTATAAATCAATTTCTAAGTGTAACCTGTCCCAAGGTACCTTTGATTCTGATATCTCTATTCATCAAAACATCTTACAAAGGCACGCAAGGTTTGTGCCTCTGTTAAGGATGGGAGTCAAAAAAACGTTCTCAACAGATGTGCCCCTCTGCAAAATGGGCAACGAGGGCGAAGTCTTCGGAGCCCTAAAGCAAGAGACGGTGCAGCTGTCCTGCGAGGTGGACTCCAGTCCACCGCCCACAGCATTCAGCTGGACCTTCAACAGCTCGGGAGAACAGATCCAAATACCTGCCAAGTAAGGATTGAGAACTAATTAATAATGAGGGCTATTGTTTTTATACGTACAACTCGGTCGAATTAACAGCACACTTGGAAGTCGTGATAAGACATCGACACTGGTAGTAGGGAATTTAGTGCAATGATTTGTATGGAGACCCCTCCACTTTGGTATAGAAGGCTCATTTTTGCACCAGTTGTTCTTTGGGTGCTCCTGAGTAGATTTCCGTCGGTAGACATCGGGAGCCCCCCCTGTGGTAGCAGGGGGAGGGGGGGCAAGTTTCCTTCTGCCGCGCTTCACTTTAAGGCCCATATCTTTAAAACTATGGGTATTAGGGCAAGTGTGGTGTCATTTTCGGATAATTAAAGGATGGCGAATTCATTTCTAGAACAAACTTTTTGCCTTTTCATACAAAAAAATAGAAATATTGAGTAAAATTCACAAAAACCAAAAAGTATTTTTTTAAATAAACGTCGTTTACTTTTAAACCATTGGAGATAATCTAATAAAAAAAATATGTCCTGAAAGCTACATTTATCAGGATTATAAATATATACCATTGTATAGTACTTTTTTCTAAAAAAGTAGGTGAAAAAAAATTTTTCTTCAGGACAAAGCGGGCGAATTTTGATGCGCGTCGGAAAAAAATATTTATTTTATCCAAGTATTCATACTATTTGGTTCATAAGCAAGTAAAGATTATTATTTTAGAATTTATTTTGAGTTTCTGGCACATCATGCTACCATGATTTGTATTTTTTCTTCAATTAATTTTGAACTCTATGTGTAAGTCATAAGGTTGAAAATAGTTTAAATACATTTTATTATTGAAAATATCATAAGAAGAAAGCACTAAATAAAGAACTTGAATTTGTCTAAACGTCTAATGATTATTATTAGTATTTTAATTAACATTTTTATTTCTACATACTATTGTACCAGTGATTTAACGGAAAGGTAAGTGTGAGGAAAGTGAGGATTGATATTATCATAGTACGGGAGATTATTTTTAGCACAAAGGCTACGGCTGTGACCATTATAAAAACCGACTCCAAAAAACCTACACTAAAACGTAGGAAAATAATTACTAATTACCTACTTATTTATTAGGACGAATTATTAATATTTATGTAGGTATACCATGATTGATACTTTTGGAGTCGGTGCAGGCAAACTTTACATGTTTCATAATCTTGGCACCGACTCCAGAAGTATCAATCATGGTATACCTACATAAATATTAATTATTCGTCCTAATAAATAAGTAGGTAATTAGTAATTATTTTTCTACGTTTTAGTGTAGGTTTTTTGGAGTCGGTTTTATTTTCGTATAGAAGCCCAGAAACTATCGTAGTAGAGTTTTTGCGTGTCGATCTCAACCAAAAAGTATTTAACGCTGAGTTGCAGTTGCACCATTTTACTTAAACTTTAATAAACGTCAAAAATCTGCCAAACTCTATACAAAAACACCGATTATCGTTATAGTTACGATTAAAGTCAGGTCAGCCTTAGATTTATAAGTTATCATAGATGTCAATTTTACTGAGAGCTTTACATGTCTACTCGTACCTCCAGAGTAGGTACGGCCGGCGTAGCTACAATTTCTTATTTATAATGTAGGTTAATTTAAGCCTCCACTGTCCTAATCAAACAAGGTAACTACCTCCAGGGAATACCCTGGATAAACCTACAGAGATTAAAATCTCTCTGTATCATAAATCAGTACAAATTCGTGACTTGAAAGAACACAATTATATACAAATGGTTTTCGCAGAATACTCATGATTATTAACTAGAATGCAGCTCGCTTCCACCTTTGGCCTGATCATCACTTACCATCAGGTGAGATACAGGCCAAGAGCTTCCTCGTAGTGTATTTAAAAAAAAAGCACTTCCTCAGAGTTTAATATTTTTAATTCAGTACTTAGGACTTTCCAGGGCACTTAAACACGTCGTCCCAAATATAGCTTGCCCTACCACCATTTCGGGACAACATATGGGCTGGTGCTGAGAAGTTAATTCGAGCTGATCGCATAAAGATGTCAATCTTTCCATTTAACGTAAAGTTTGTGTCTTTTTACCCAACTGCGCCAGAAGGAGGGTTATATTTTTACATATCACCAACAAAATAATTAGTCATTGATGCCTCCGACTGCATTTGTAAACACTAAGGCTGAGTTGTCTTGTTTTTATTATCTTTTTAGTTCATTTTTATCAGTTTAGTTGAATTCAATGACAAAAAAAGAAAAGAAAGCGTGCGAAGTCTTTTGTGGACGATGATTATTTTATAACCAAGATTATCTTTGAATATTTTTGATTGCACGTAAGGAGTGCGGCATTGTTCTTCCATTAGGAGGTGTTTAAGCGTTTTAAGCGCAGTTCACACGGCTACTGCGGGTCACGGGGCATTGTTAAGCGCGGGCGTTCGCCCCGACACGCGTGTGACCCCCGTGGGCCACAGCCGGGGGAGAAACGTCAACTCAGTAGGTCTAGACAAGTGGCACTTTTTGATCGAATCGAAAATCGAATCCGTTGAAATGCCAAAAAGGCTGTCTTTCGACATAAAAACTGTCACATTTTGCATTTTGTCTAGAGGGGCAGGTATATAGTAAACTGCATCAAATCAAATCAGAAAAGAATATTTATTCAATTTTGACCAGTATCTTGGCACTTTGTGAATGTCGAAACGAACTCAGTCACCACTAGTTGCATCAAGGAACAAAGGAACTTATTTGGTACCAACCAAATACCAAAATATTATACCGTCAGCTGTCAATGACGTAGCGAGATAGCGCAAATCTTATTAATCACAGAATACTGAATCAATTCAATACTTCAAAAACTAAATACACCAACAGTCAACACTCTCTCCTTAAAATGAGTACTTTTCTATACCTACCTTTAATACAAAAGGCTGAAAAAAGGGCGACTGAAACTCTATCGCAAGGTGCAAATCACGAAAATCTCGTCAAAAAACTAATTTGGTTCCAAAATGGTGGTAGAGCACTATGTTTGAAACGTATCTAGTCACTGAAAATGTGTTCATATACTCTACTGTATAAAACGATTTAAATTCCGATATTTGTAAGTTCAGAGAGACCGTGGTTATTCTTACCTACATGATTTGAAATTTTTATTTATTAGCACTTCATTTAACAGTAGTACACCGCTGACATACATAGAGCCTTTCTGTTTTCCCCGAGCTTTGTGAAAGCTTACAAGTTTGCTGGGCCCGCCTAACGACTGTCAAACGCAACTAGTGTTCAGCTACTTGTGCCCACTTGTAAAATAATACAAAGGGAAATAAACTTTGTTCAAACAACTTCTCAAGTTATATTTTAAGTGGTTGTGTCGAATTTTAGAATGCCAATGGGAAAATATAAGTCGTCCTGAAAGCTAGTATTACTTTAGATTATAAAACATTTATAGCCTATTGAAAATTTCTGAAATCAACTATTTTCAATGCGATATTATAAAATTGAAATATCGCGTTGCGTATTACCACTGTATTGTAGTAGTAAGAACATCAGGCTTTGGAGGGTATGTTAAAATCATCTGACGCTTATAGACAGCCCATAAAGCCTAGACTACCTACATGAAAGTAAGCCTTGTGATCTCCACCCTGTATATACTCGTATATAGCTACTCACTATGTACCGTAAGTAGGCACCATCTGTACTGTAAATAGGCACCTATTAGAAACGCAATCATGGATATACTCAGCAAGAATATTAATGAGGAATACTTATGAAAGGTATGTTATCACGCCTAATTTTCAGAGGAACTGTAAATTGTATATTTTCATTTAAGTGGGTTGCTGTGTGTTGGTTTCCTTTTAGAAAAGCGCTATGCTAATTGATTTGCAAAGGATTATAACTCAAAGGTGACTGACTGACTGACTTACTGACATAGTGATCTATCAACACACAGCCCAAACCACTGGACGGATCGGGCTGAAAAGACAATGCCGGAAATTGGCGTCTTTTTTTTTTCGCGCGGCCATCGACCAAATCATGTTTTTTAGATACAAAATAGTGTAATAAACCAAACTTACTATGACATGTATACCTCTAAACTCAGTCTGAACTGAGTTACGAGCATTAGAAGTTTGATGATTTACATACTAGATTTGCTTTTTGCGCGCAAGTTTTGTAAGAAATTGCAACAAAATATTGCGCTAATTTCTCAGATCATAGAATTCCCTTCTATGATCTGAGGCTAATTTTTTATTGCTCGATGGCCGCCCGAAAAAAAAAAAAGACGCCACCTTCCATACAAAATCTGGCATTGCCATTTGGCANTCCCTACTATGGTAGGGATGGGGCGAACGCAGGCAGGTGTGCGGGTAAGTGGGAAGAAGAGTCGCATTTCAGTGAGATGAGCAGTTAGCTCGATCGGGTTGTAACAGTTAGCACCGTTGCTAAGTGACGGGACTTTACAAAGTGGTACTGTCCTGATGAGTTCATGCAATAGTCCTCTTACCGATTCAGCGCTTATCGTCACTGTCTTAGCCACCAGCAATTCACAGGACCTTACTCTAAAGTGGCGCTAACAGGTGAATGCTAAAACGATAGTAATTAATAGGCGACAATAACCCTACTGTGCTTACGTTGGGCGCTCCAATCTTATGGATGTTTTTATAAAAAGTTTCAATATTTTCCCCCTAGATACTACACAGCCTCTGGCTACTCCTCTACCTTGAGGTACACGCCGTCATCCAACATGGACTTCGGGACCATCTCCTGCGCAGCCAGTAACTCCGTCGGGAAGCAGGAAGCGCCGTGCGTGTACAAGCTCGTTGCTGCTGGTAAGATGTTCAAACAATTTTGGGTTCTAAGGGTCTGTTAATAGGGTGTATAGTATAACTTCATTACCTGGAAGTTTGATCTGCATCAGGTTATTATCATCAGGCTATTTAGTCTTCACTGCAGGAATTACAACCCTCTTCAATTTGAGAGGTGCAGCTGCAGATTACTAATTAATAGACTAATATTTACGACATCTGATACTTAGGTACCTATAAAGTACAAAAAATAGCCCTGCACACCACCTGGACCACCTGGATATGAGCTCCCCTGGCTTACCTGGAAGTCTTTAAATAGACTTCGGACGCAAGTTGGCCGTAATAAGGACAATCTGGTCAGGTGGGGATTCTTGGATGGCTTAAACATGGAGTGCAGGTGCGGTTTTGTTCCCCAGTCGATGAAGCATCCGATGTCGTGCCCTGAATGCCCAAGCAACTGCACTCAGGGGATTTGATGAGTGCTACTGACAACGCCACTCTTGTGGCGGAGTTTTGGGCTGACACTGTGTAGGTTTGTTGTCGACACGAAAGAATAAGAAGTACAAAAAATAGCCCATACTGATAAAAATACAATCATGTCAGCTGATGTCAGTAACTGACCATTCATCACGTCGTAGGATACTAAATACGGCAGTAAATGATTGATAACTGACCATCAGTTAAAATCAATCACAGAATAATCGCCGAAGTGACATAAACGGATTGAGACCTGATGCAGTGACGATGCTATTATACGTATCGTTGAACAATGCCTCGATTCCCGTTTCACAAAAAAGGTGTTTAATATGCAGCTGGCTTGTTGCCAACTTTATTGCAATATCACGAGAATCTCTGGCTAGAATTATTTATTTAGAAATCATCATTATTTACATGTTTTCGAGTGTGAAATATCGAGTAAGTATTATTTCTTTTTACATTGTTTTAAGCTCTCAAATTTTTGGCACACCGGATATTTAACTAATATAATTTCAAATTTCCGTTTCAGTCTAATTTATTGGCGTAAATCATACCTAGCTAGTGACGGAAAATCCTAATACTCATTATTGGAGCGCCTAAAACGTTGCAAAAATATGAAATCCAAAAAGTTTATTAATTAATCAACATTAGCTACGTAAATTAAATTAACCTCACTGAAGCCATTTGATACAATCTAGAAACTGATCTTAATTAATCATTAAAGTTCGCATCGGCTTCAATATGCTATTATTATAATCTAAATAGCTAACTCGCGTTCGCTTGTACTGAACCCTTCGGCCATTAGGCGTGGGTCTGAGCACATTGGCGCCCAACGTGTGGCCAACCGTTGGTCACAAACTCAGAATCATCCAAAAGGTTCACTCCAAAATAATATAAAATCACGCAATGTGAAAAGTTCATTTTATGTTGAGGCTATCATTCAATGAGTCATTGTTGACATAAAGTTTTTTTAAAGAATAATATAAAAGTAAAGTAGTCTCAAACTAAAGCTTGGTCTTGCCAGAAACAACAACACAGAATAAACAGCAGTTATTTGCTTGAAATATATTTTTGATTTATCACCATCATCGTCAGTTTAGTTTCCACTACAGGAGCACCACTCTTTCCAATTTACCAAAGGCTAATGAAGATTTGACCTATATTCCTCACACTCTGGCCAAAAAGGTTCATCTTCTTATTCGTTTCGCTCTTGGCAGCGGATACAACTCTCCACACGATCTCACGCCATTTCCTTCTGTTGACAGACTGTTAGGTTGGGGAGTCCTGAAGTTCACATAAACACATAATTGCCGTTTACGTCAAGTCTGTGTATATTTAATTAATTAACCTTATTAAGATGCTACTTCATCAACCTGTACTGTGGCATAACAAAACCAAACATGGTCCGAACCAATTTACATAGAAACGTTCCTGTTAGAATTACTCCTGGTATAGTTATTGTGATTATTATAGTCAAATGGTTTTGCGGGGGTAATGAAAATGACCTAGTACCGCTAATGATGTACCCCGGGGGTGTGCGAGTGGGATTTGATAGCTGTGCCGGTGAATTTTGTATGCACCTGAATATTCATTTCGTTTTGTTTGTGTATTTACTAGTACGCTAATATTTGGGCTAACGCGAATATGCAGGGAATTACCTGTTATCAAATCAATTTCAATATTTTATGTGGTTATTTAATGTAATGACCTATATTGGCTAGCTTAGCTCTGATGAAGAAAAGTGTAAATAAATATCAAAAAGTTGCACTTTTGAAAGGTTTATCTGTCTGAATTTTACACATTTATGTGCGGTGCTTTAAGGTTTGGCCAAACCAACGCGATCACACGCGATCAGCCGGCGTGCAGCGATGGCGATCAATACATTTAAGTCTGGTCGCCATCGCTGCACGCAGGCTGATCGCGTGTGATCGCGTTGGTTTGGCCAAACCTTTAAGAAGCGTCAAGCATTGTCCATGATAATGACATCTTTGATATTTTTTTTATTTAAATTACGATTAGCTCACTTTTTCTAAATACAAAAAACATAATCAACTGTCTGATCCCCAGAATAAAGTTAAATAATATCTGTACTGTAGGTACTGTATAAAAAGTTGTCGCTTTATCCCTGTCAAGGTTTTATTGGGTACTGGCAATTGAGATGAAATATCGGCGCATTTGTTTTTTTAATAGCCTCCAGTCTGGCCATTGACCGATCCGATCGCGCAGGATATAACCCATCATAAATTAGGCAATTGGTCAGCAATAGCTAGTTATAATACACACACACTCAGTAGAATAATTTAAAATGAACTTTAAACAACTCGATCGAGCTAACTGTGCATCTCGTTGAATGCACTGCGCACCTCAATGAATGACTCTCCCTCGCACTTACCAGCACAACTGCCCGCGTTCGCCCGGTCCATACCAGAGCGTCGATGTGACGTCACGGCTTGTAACTTGAACGGGTTGTAAATTAGATGATGTTAGGTTGTGCTGAAAAGAAAAATGTTGGTTTCAAATTCGTCTTCAATTAAGTTACAAAATTAGTAACAGAACCGAGGTAATTTAAACCTCTACATTTTATTACAAAGTACTAACTAAATATCTACCAAAAACGTAATTAATACCCAGCAAAAATTACGAAGCCTGTTAACATAAAAGAAATTAAGATGTCAAGATACGGCACTATTCTCCTCTCACGTTCTTTATACATACTACTTGACTGGAAATAAAACCCAACCTTATGAAATTTAAGTAGTCCCAAGAGATGCCTAACAGTCTTGGAACGAATGAAATTAATTCGAAGAATATTTCTTATTCGGGTTTCCCGAAAACGGGACGCCGAAACCTTTAGAATGATAATTTATCACTCATATCTGTGATATAAAGGTACCATTAGCTGTTGGTGGAGCTAAGTAAGAGGTTATTATGTCACAACTTGGTAATAATAGGCTAGATGACAAAATTTCAATTATTTGTCCGTCAGACAGATAATTATAAAATATTAGACTCATATTTTTTATTTTCTTTCATAATTAAATAATAACAGTGCTACATCGAGTTGAAATGGCGCGATACGTCACGCTTGAGTAGAATTTTTACTCAAAAGTGTCGTCACGCGACATTTCAACTCAATATAACACTGTAATTATTCGATTATGGAAAAAAATAAAAAATTATCAGTCTAATATTTTCTAATTATCTGTCTGACGGACTAAATAGAATTTCGATTTCATTACCCAGTCATCATCCCTATTATGCTGCAGAGAATAATGTAGATGCGATCTGCACTCATAGACACTATATCGAACTGTATCTACTGCAAGTTACTTGTATTATAGCAGCTAAGTATCAAATGGTATCTGGGAGTTGTTTATGTCAATTGTTTATCGGCTCATAAAAATAAAGCTCATAGCAGACTTATCAACTGGGAAAGGGATCAACACCGTATCACCTTTCGCGAGCTGTCATCGCCTATCGCACACTGTCAATTGCGAGGCGAGGTGTTTACGTTACGGTGCGTTGCAGTATGGAGTTTCATACAAAGAATACTGACCGCCTCGAGTTGATACGGTTACGATCCCTTTCTGGGTTGATAAATGTGCGACGTCCTTAAATCTCCACCAGGTCACCCGATGTCGCTGCAGAACTGCTCGGTGCTGAACCACAGCTTCGCTGGACTACACGTGGACTGCATTGAGGGCTTCGACGGTGGTCTACCTCAAGTGTTTTACATGGAGGTCTATGAGCTGCCTTCGATGATTGTAAGTTTTTCATTAATCCCACCGCTGTAACTCCTGTGTGGTTAGGATCTACAGCTGGACGGCCAATAAAACACAACAGTGAAGATCAAGTTACCCGGGTCAAGTTACTTATAAGTTCAGTTATAGTTTACTGCCTGAGTCTCTCTGATTAGGGTCACGGAGAATGTGATTATAGTTGCACAATGTTAGTTGGAGTCAGAGTCAGTATTTATGTGCTGTTAAAGTGTTAACACGGTATATAGAGACTTCCAAGCTTAGTTAATAAATAAACATTCCCCAATTATTAATATCTTCCTTGGATTTTCTATAATCCAAGGGGTAAAAAGGGGGATGGACGAACTTATTGGAAGTCTGCATAGCGAAGATTCAATGTAGCTGATTATACAGACTGATGACGGCACGTCAATCAAAACATTGTGGCATCTTGTGTACCTAATAGACGCTATTTTTTAACCATAATGTGTAGTTTGATCATCTGATGTGTTGTACTTGACTGTACTTTAAATGGTTACTGAGTTTCTTCCGCCACTTCCGGGACTAAAATGGCTGTTAGGATGCTCACTAAGCTCTTGATTTACCTACATTAGGTCCGAGCCAACGTGTCTTCGAACTCCACGCCGACCTTCGAAGTGCCGGGCCTGGACAGCTATTCGAGCTACGCGCTTGTTCTGTACGCGGCCAATGCGAAGGGCAGGGGAGAGGCGACTTCGCTGTACACTGTCGCTTTAAGGTCCCCTGATAAATACACTGGTAAGTTTATAACTTTTAGGGTTTAGGTTAAGGTTATAAGGTTAAATAGGGTAGCGTATTGAGAAACGCAGAGGTCAACTCTAGCTACAAATACCTCCTTGTGTTAGTCCAATATACATAATGTAACTATACATAATATTATCTTTCAATTTGTAGGCTGAGGTAGAGGCCATTACAGTAGTGCAGCTTGAAAAATAAACAGTTTTTGTTTCCTCCTGTAAAGTTTGTACAAATGAATATAAGCAGGTTGAAATGGGCTGACGATATCCTCCAATAGCCATAGAATCAACATAAGCTTCCAGTGACATAAGATTTTTCTCCAGGAGTCAGCACGTCCATTCCTCTGTCTCCAATGCTAGTATCACTGCTAGCAGTGATTGCGCTGCTTTGTACCGGCGTCTGCGGAGTCATTACTGCGCTGTACCGGCGGCATAGTGCTCGAAGACTAGATCGAGTGAAGCAACCGCCTTCTTCGTAAGTAACATTATTTGTAAGTTGTTACAGAAGTAGGCACAAATTGGAGTCCTTTTACTCATAAGCTCACTTAGACTAAGTATGCAGCAATTCAAACCTACGAATAAACTCATCTGATTTAAGACTTAATAATATTAGAAGGATTCGTTCCCACTCTAGCTACTTTTGCAAAGACGGTCTACAGCTGGGGCGTCTATAGAATTCAATCAATGAAGGTTACGTTTTTAAAAAGCTAGGCAAAATAATATTAGACGCGTAGCGATAAAAAAGCTCCAGGTTAAGGAAGTTTATTGCAAATCAAATGACAGATTACGACAGATTAATAAAATGCAGCCCGCCTCTTTAACTATTTGCACTGGAAGCGGAAGGTTAGGCTGGTTACAATCATGGTGATGGTTTAGACTCTAGAACATTCCATAGTGAGTTTGAAGAAAGAAAGAAAGAAACATTTATTACGAGGAACATCACTTAGTTAAGGACAAAGAAATTGTAAGGAAAAAAAGACAGAAGTAGCACGTAAATATTACAAGGAAATAAAAAGTGAACTGAGCAGTGCTATCCTGTCGCAACAGCGATGCCCATCGCAATGGGACTCCACTCAGCATATGCCGTGGCCCACAGTGGGGAAGGCCACGACGCTGGTTTTCAGTGTGCCCCATGCCGAGGAGTGTGTGTGTGTGAAGCTATAATCCTGCAGTACATTTCTTAACCATTTCACTTCATTTGAACTGTCCAATATAAACATGGCTTCTCTTGCCAGGGCTCTATACATAGAGCAGAGCGTGGACTCGCTCTCCAAACAGGACCACATGAACACGTACTGCGGATCTCCAAAGCTGGACTACTGCAGCCAGTACGAGCTGAAGATGGACGGGGAGATAGAGGAGACCGATCCTGACATCATACCCTGTAATTACGGTGAGTTTTCCAGCAGAAAACAGTGGGCTTTTTTTATTCCCAACGGGGAAGCTCTTGGTTTGTATCTCACCTGATGGTAAGTAATGATCAGGCCGAAGGTGGAAGCGAGCTTCACTCGGAATCCTCAACCACAGAGGAACTGGCTAATCTAAGTGAAACACGAAATTAATCGTTTTTTTTTTATGAATTCCTTGAAATGTTTGATTTGATGTTAAATTTTATTTGAAAAAATGTTTAGATGTAAAATTTTCAAACATACCCACATTTAAAATGCTAGTTGGTAATAATGTATTTAATTGTAATGAATTGTATCTGTGTTTTCTCTATAAGTGGATTTTATAAATTCTTTTGAGAAAATAAATGTCTTTAACCGTAAATATGTGAGGTCACACTGGGATGTTACCGGCTGTGACAAGGGGGAGGGAAGGGGTCAAAAATAATGAAATTCGTGTGACGTAAATAAATGGCCCCTTATTCATACATTTTTTAATTTCATTCCAACATCGTTTTGCTCCATAAACAAAGTAAACATATCCGGCAGATAAGAAGTCGATTAGCGGGTTCAGCAAGCTGCCCACGCCGGGCACCGACACCGACACCAGCCGCGTGTTCAGCGAGCGCTCGGCCGGCTTCCCTGCCAGCACTGTGAGTTGTTTGCCTTACTTGACTTAAGGTCCTTTGACCCCTAGATGGGGTAGAGGTCGTCCACAACAGTCCTCCATCTCGTTCGGTCTTGAGCTTCGCGCTTGATCTCGCTCCAGGTCTTGCCGATTTTCTTCGCCAGTGAGTTGTTTGCACATTTTTTAATTAACGTTTGTGAACCGCCAGGCGATTTTCAATATTGTATTCTCATAATATACAGGGTGTCCCAAAAAGTAGTGTCAAGCCGAAGCCCAGAGGCAGAGCATCACTAGGGCTACCCGAATCACCGTGACTTTTGATTGTTTTCCAGTTATGATTTTTTTAAACATATCCTGTATGTGTTATCTTTTTTAGTTTACATTCGTGTTATGGATGTAAATACTTCTAAATCAGCTAGGCTAGTATTCATTCATTACATGGGACCTTTGGGCTTCGGCTTGACACTACTTTTTGGGACACCCTGTATCTTTTGTATTTACTTAGAGCCAATCTTTTGATCCGTAGTTAATTCTATTAAGGGCCAGTACAGTTGCAGTCGTTGCAACTAAGGTGGCAGCCAGCTTATTCCGTAGTTATTATTTCTTGACATTTAACCACCATATTGTCATCTTATCTAATAGTTAAGCTAACTATGGATCATAAAACTGGCTGTGAATCTATTAGGTAAAGGTCATTTAATTTTATTGTTTATCTGACCTTTAACTCTAAGAATAAGAATAAGAATAAGAAATTTATTCATAATGTTCATTACATGTCAAATTTTCAATATATTTTCTTATTAATAATAAACAATTGCAGTATTAATAAGAAAGAAATACACATCATGTCCAAATAAATTAATAATACAAATAGAATTAATGTCAATTAAATGTCAAAATAAATAGTGGGTAACAGTGTCAATAATATCATAATGTCAGTGTCTTTTTCATAACTCAGTAGGTATTATGAAAAAACAAACTCAGTCATCCACAGGCTTGAATCTACGAGGGTGAACATCGTAGAATCAAGCCTGTGGAGGACTGAATTTCTTATGTTTTATACCAGTCACAATCGTTCGTTCGTTCGTTTCAGCCAAATGACGTCCACTGCTGGACAAAGGCCTCCCCCAAGGTTTTCCACAATGAACGGTCCTGCGCTGCCCGCATCCAGGCTCTTCCCGCGACCTTTACCAGATCGTCGGTCCACCTAGTAGGAGGCCTGCCCACGCTACGTTTTCCAGCCCGTGGTCGCCACTCGAGAACTTTCCTGCCCCAACGGCCATCGTCTCTACGAGCTATGTGCCCCGCCCACTGCCACTTGATTTTAGCAATTCTGCGAGCTATGTCGGTTACTTTGGTTCTCCTACGGATCTCCTCATTTCTGATTCGATCACGCAGGGAAACTCCGAGCATAGCCCGCTCCGTCGCCATTTGGGTGACCTTGAGCCTTCTTATGAGGCCCATAGTAAGCGACCACGATTCGGATCCATATGTCAACACTGGCAACACACACTGCTCGAAGTCACAATATTTAATCTATTTATTGAATGTTGATAGTGATACATCATCAAAGTTATTTAAAATAAGCCTCACACACTCTGAAAGACTGAAACAAGCAAATCATTACTGTGCAATATCCCGCAATAAGAAACATAATTGGATTTGCTCGAGATTGCTTCACAAAGTGGTATCCATTGCACCGCAGCACACCATGACTCTATCATATCCCTATCACATACAAAATTCTTGGATTGGAATTGGAATGGATTACTGTCAGGCATGTCCAATTGTCCTCTATTCCGTAACATGTTCCTGGTTTGGTCATGTTATGACATGGTGTAGTGAACAGTCCTTTAACTCTATTTCTAGTAGAGATGAAACGGATATCCGGTAACTATCCGGTAGGCCGGATATCCGGCCATAATTTACTATCCGGCCGGATACCGGATAGTAACTCACTATCCGGCCGGATACCGGATATTAAAAAACTACGACAATTTCCTATCAATAAAATTAAATACATTAATCTTTGAAGTAAACATCATTAAAATGTCTTATAATAATGACGGCTTTTATTTAAAGTCAAAAATGTTACAAAAAGCCATATTAAGGCCTTTAAAAAAGCTAATTTCGTTTTCTGGGCTATTCACTCTAATAACGAATACATAAATAGTAAATATGTATCTGTTAAGTCGAAATATTGCCAAATAAAATAGGCGATCTTTTGTTCACTGATGGTCTGATGTCATGATGCAAGTGAACTAATTTAATTTTCGCTATTCAATCACACATTCACGATGGCAACCGAAATCGCCCAAATTGATCTGCCCCCAGACAAGTGACAAAATCTGACATTTTATTAGGACTGATTCGATTTTAGAAAAGTGTTACTTGTCTAGTCTACTATTAGACCCACTGATCGCTTTCGAAGCACTTGTGCGGCGCTAAACTCGTCAAAACATGCAACGAGACAATGGGCCAACTATCCGGCCGCCGGATATCCGGCTATCCGGCCTAGCAGCTGGCCGGATATCCGGTATCCGGTATCCGGCCAAACAACTATCCGTTTCATCTCTAATTTCTAGTTTAGAAAGGAAATTGATTTTGGTTTGACATATCTAATTGTGAAAGTTATAGACGGTAGAATAATTAAGTATCAAAGCTCCGTGATCTTTCAAAACTTTCAATAACGTTACACTGTCTGTCTATTAATCTTCCATTGAACAAGATTGACAAGATTGTCTTAAGTGTGAATCTTTGAATCTCTTTATTATTTTGCTAAATAATTTGCCACCATACTTTGAACTCTATTACAATTAGTTTCAAAACCATAAAACTTGATCTATTGGATTAAAATTAGAGATGAAACGGATATCCGGTAACTATCCGGTAGGCCGGATATCCGGCCTAAATTTACTATCCGGCCGGATACCGGATAGTAACTCACTATCCGGCCGGATACCGGATATTAAAAAACTACGACAATTTCCTATTAATAACATGAAATACATTAAATATTTGAGGTAAATAACAATAAAATGGCTTATAATAATGACGGCTTTTATTGAAAGTCCACAAAGTTACAAAAAGCCATATTAAGGCCTTCCCAAAAACTAATTTCCTTTTCTGGGCTATTTTCTTTATTTACGAATACATAAATGGAAAATATCTGTTAATGTCAAAATATTGCCAAATAAAATTGGCGATCTTTTTTTCACTGATGATGGTCTGATGTGATGACATGATGCAGTTCAGTCACATTACGCAGCAAGTAAAGAAAGAAAGATACATTTATTACAATGGACATCACACAAATACAGCAATTACATAGACATGACAGTGGCACATAATAATAAAAGAAGAAAAATAAAAACAAGAGTAAACTGAGCAGTGCCACCCATTCACCAACAAGATGCCCACTGCAACGGGACCCCACTCAGCATATGCCGTGGCCCACGGTGACGAAGGCCACGGCGCTGGTTTTCAGTGTGCCCCATGCCGAGTGAGGGTCACGGACCATTGGTAGTACAAACAAGTAAACTAATTTAATTTTCGCTATTCAATCACGATGGCAATCGAAATCGCCCGAATTAATCTGCCCCCTAGACAAGACAAGACAAGTGGCAAAATGTGACATTCTATTCGGACGGATTCGATTTTCGAAAAGTGTCACTAGTCTAGTCTACTAATAGACCCACTGATCGCGTTCGAAGCACCTGTGCGGCGAAAATCTCGACACGCCATGCAACGAGACAATGGGCCTACTATCCGGCCGCCGGATATCCGGCTATCCGGCCTAGCAGCTGGCCGGATATCCGGTATCCGGTATCCGGCCAAACAACTATCCGTTTCATCTCTAATTAAAATTTAGAAAATGTCAATTGATTTTCGACGTTTTGTCAAGTACTATAAAGTTCAAATTGCGTTGGCAATAAAACCTTCCTATACAGGGTGAAACAATTAAAAGTAAGTTTTCCCTCCAGTCGTCATCCAGCATATCGGTGGTGAACCGCGGCGTGTGCGCGCGCGGCGCTGACATCACCGCCGCGCGCCATCTGGCGGCGAATGTGCGCGAGAGTTGTATATAGACCGGTAGATATCTAAATAAATAAACTGCTGTGCTATTCTTATTTTATAATTTTGAAAGAGCAAGTGTAATGAAATTTTGAACAGTATTTATTTACTTTTATAGGCTGTAAGAAATGAAAATGAAATTTAATGTTGTAAGAAATGTAAAATAAACAAATAATTACTGTTTTTCATACAAAAAAAAAAAACGTTTGGCACGTTTTGGGAACCCAAAAAGTAGAGGCAACTAGGACTATTATTGTTTAAAAAAAAGTAATAAGATGTCATAGTGTTTTGGGAGGTTCCGCCATTCGTATCTACTGTCATGTTTGACATGAAAAATTGCTATTTTATTCCTTTAGAATTATTTATGGGCTAAGAATAGCACAGCTATTAGTGGTAATAGGTTAGGGACGTAAATAAATGTACCTGGGATTCACGGATTCGATTCAGTCGATATAATGAGGTAAGTTTGTAAGCTAGTAAAATAAATTATTCGTGAATCTGTAAGTAAATACATTTTTATTTTAAGCTGTAGTATCCCACTGCTGGACTAAGGTATAACGTCAATAACATTTTTTTAGGTTTATCTTTGCGCCAGCTTCACATTTTTATCTGATATTAAAGCATAACGTAATAACATTTCTCTAGCTCTGGAAGTATAGATCCAGAAGATGGATTTCGAATAATGTTGTTTTGAAAATTGTTTTTATGAATTTTCTTTTAAAGTAAAATTTTATTTGCAATTCACTTGTGTAGGTTCAATTTCGAATAAGTTAGAAGCAAACAGGATTATTCTAAATATTCAGATACCTAATGTTTTTTCATAGACAGCGAGTGGAATTTTGCTACGAAAAGGTCGTGTTTTGTCAATTATTTTCGTGAAGAATTACAAATCCCTACAAAAACATAAAAATTTCAGAAACATGTTAGTTTTTATTAAGTTATTAAGCTATGTAGCTTTATAGCAAAAAAATAAGCATGACCAGAATAAATCAGAGAAAATTTTGATTTAATTTCATACTGTGAACATATGCCATGGGATTCCATTGTTCAGCAGTGAGCATCTACAACTTGGTGATAATATTATGTAATTGTACAAACATTAATACATAAATCAGCAGTATTATAAGGAAAAAGGGTTTCGTAAATATTAGCAAAGAAATCTTAAATGTATCATACATTATTAATTGTTTAACTTTAACTTAACTGTTGAATTCGCAAATATGATAAGATAAATGTTTAAGTAACTTGTCATAGGTACCTACTCTAAACTGTACCTCTAGTACGAAAAACTTTCGAGTTCGTTTCGTTTGCGTATTCAAAGTGTCATCGAAAAATTTTGTATGAAAAATTAAACAGCGCCCCCTAGGGCGGCTATAATATAGGGGGCGCTGTTTAATTTTTCATACAAAATTTTTCGATGACGCAAACGAAACGAACTCGAAAGTTTTTCGTACTAGAGGTACTGGCAACAATTAAAACGCAACATTGGCGACGTTGCGAAGCGCGTAATGTTGCCAAATACGTCATGTTGCGTCTTAAACATTTCCAGATGTATGACTTTTGTTTTCTAAAAATAATGTCACATGGAAATGTAAGATAAATGTGTGGATCCGCCCAGTCAAGAAGCCAGTTGTACTAAACTAATAAAAAAAATGTGCAACTGACTTTTAGTCAATTTTGTAGTAAAATTCTAGCCTAAGCTAAGATTTAGACTACGATTTCTTCCATTTTTCTAATCATTCCAAATAATTGAAGTTTTTTTAATTAATCTTATTTTCAGCAACCCTGTATTTCTGTTTTATTCTTATTTATTAGCTACTAGCTTTCCGCCCGCGGCTTCGCCCGCGTGGAATTTTGTCTGTCACAGAAAAACTTTATCGCGCGCGTCCCTGTTTCAAAAACCGGGATAAAAACTATCCTATGTTCTTTCCCGGGACTCAAACTATCTCTATGCCAAATTTCATCAAAATCGGTTGCGAGGTTTAAGCGGGAAAGCGTAACAGACAGACAGACAGACAGACAGACAGAAAGAGTTACTTTGGCATTTATAATATTAAGTTGGGATTGGGATGGGATTCAATAAAAAAATAATCTTAAGTAAAGAATTTATACAAATCTAGTAAGCTCTTTATTTTTTATTTTATTTAGGTAAATAACTTTTCCGATAAACTTAAAAAAAAACTGTTGAAGAAATATTGTATAGTAACTGAATTATGTTTATGAATGTATACAATAAGGATAATTAAAAATCGCACGCATACATTATTAACGTTGCGCGTTGTTATGTTATTGGATACTGTATTGTAAATAAATAAATAAAACGTATCATTATGTTGCAACAAAAAATATCAGGGTGGTCCATTGACATATAAATGTGAAGTTTACATAACTAATAAAATCATTTTGATTTTGTAATTTGATCAATTTTTTTTCCAACAGTATGATGACTCTTTTGCTGATGGCGACATATTTGCTAATGTTTTAACGCTGCCTACCCGGTAGGTAACGTTTCAGTTATACTGGGACTAAACTACAGCAACAGTTTAACTAAAAAGTGGAAAGTTGGGTAGCTGTAGTTGATTATAGAATATATCAACCAACGCTACCAATAAGCCAGTCAACGAGCTCTTTAATGTAACTCGAGAATATCGGCCACCCTGTATAACATTTTTTCAAAGCTATAACAGGGTTGAATTATCTCTGCACGTAACAAGCCATTCAAGCAAATAAAGACCTAATCTCAAAGATATACGGTTCACGGTAACGTACTGAAATGCAGACTTGATTCAGCCAGGTTATATTAAAACCTAAGTATATTTCAAGCTACATAGAATAAGTGTATCGCAAAATTTAAAAGTGAAATGTTAAATCATGTTGGTTGTTAAAGAATTTTTCTATAAGGTGTTGTTTTAGGCGAAACCCGACTGAAAATTATTTATAGTGATATCGTAAACAATGATTGTGAATGTTTTATTAAAACAAAGGTGAAATTGCTTGTATTTTTATTTGCATGTTTCTGGTAAGTATTCCTAATATTATTTACTTATTGTACTATAAATTATGTCAATGGCTACCTTAAAATTTAGATTTTAGTATTCACTTTACTATGGGACATTTACAGGTCATGGTTGTAACTTGTGTGTGACCCATATTGTGACCGGATCTTTCTGTAGTCTCATACATACTCCACTCTCCCATTCATACATTTTCAATTGCCTCATAAAAACAATCTATGTTATTTATGTATGTACCTACAATAATTTTATCAAGAACTCTACAGTTTTTTTAAAATAATTTTGAAATAAAAAAATACAACTTAATAACTTAATTAATGCCATTGTTAAACGTGTCTCAAAAGTACCAGTAAATAAGTAGCATTACAAATTAACTGTAATAATCTGGCAATCAAAACACAAAGTCGTGTAATTTACAAGGAAAAGTGGAAAAATATCATTTTCGAGATAAAAAGTATGAAAAGGTCTTTTTAAGGCAGGTGACGGGACGAAAACAAAGGTAAGCTGGAGATTTCATTTAACACAATAAATATTACACTCAGTAGGTCCATTATAAAAACATTTTTTACATTATAGCTGAAAAACTGTATGGTCTACCGATTTAATGTGAAAAATAGTACAAGTAGTCCAGTGAAAACCAGAGGCTCATTTTTACTGTCATCATCATCAGGTCATTCAGTCAATTAAAAGTTTGCTTTCTCTTTTTCATCATTTCAGCCATAGGACGTCCACTGCTGAACATAGGCCTCTCCCAATGACTTCTACATTGCACGGTTGGTAGCCTGCATCCAGCATTTGTCTTTTTACAATAGTAGAATAGCTTTCTAGCCTGAAAAGTTAGCATCAGAACTACCTAGCTTTTACTATTATAGAATTAGCTTCATTTCTAATCGGTCATTCTCCGGATCTGGATTATTTTGTTGATTACCCCGACCTTTTTTATTTTTGAATTTAGAGTAATTTTAGGTAAAACATTTCAAAATAGACATTATTACGAGCATATTTTTTATATTGGCCCATCTGTAGCAAGCAGGAATAAAAAGTTATGCGACATCAAAATTTTCATGGTCGGGGTAATCAAAGTTGGGAGTCAGAGTAATCAAAAATAAAACAAAATATTTTATTTTCTAAGGTTTTTTTTAAGTTATGGTAAAATAAATGTTATTATAACTAGCCATTTGTTATTTTAATGTATAAACGACAATATTGTAAAGTTTCAACAAAATCTGTTAAGTAGTTGTTGCGTAAAAGAGTAAAAAACATACATATACATTATACATATAATATTAGTGACTCAATGTCCTATGTCTCCTATATGGGACAGAAGGCGTCCACAACAGTCCTCCATCGCATTCGGTCTTGAGCTTCGTGTTTGATCTCGCTCCAAGTCTTAACAGTGCGCCGCTATGTTTTTTTGGCGCGACCACGTTTGCATTTTCCCTGGGGGTTCCAATCTAGAGCCTGCTTGGGGATGTGATCGGGGTCCCTTCGGAGAGTGTGGCCGATCCAGTTCCACTTGCAGCGTTTATTCTGCTGAAAGATCGGTATTTCGTGGCAGCGTTCCAAAAGTTCGTCGTTTGAAGATTTTGGAGAATTCGGCGAAGACAGCGGCTGAAGAAGATCTGCAGCTGGTGCGAGATAACCTTAGTGACCTTCCACGTTTCACGCCCATAGAGCAGAACTGGTTTGACGTTGGACCCGAATATTTTGATCTTGCTTGGGTCAATTTCCGTGACTGCCATACGGCTCGAAGTTGTGCGAAGGTAGCTCTGGCCTTGGCAATGCGCGAAGTGATGTCCTCTTCGGTACCTCCAGGCTCTGAAACGATGCTCCCGAGGTAAGTGAAATTGTGGACTCGTTGGACATCCTCTGCACCAACGGTGTGCAATTCCTCACTCCAGATCGCATCTCTTGGGTCTTCCGGTACTGATACCCTTGCTTTACCCTTTTTTCGGCACAATAATTAGAAGCCCCTTATGCCAGTCGTCTGGGAGTTCCTCTTCCATCCAGATGTTTTCGAAGACAGGTGTCAGGACGTTAACGGCGGAGTTTACAT